GTCTGCTATTTTTCCACTGTTAACCATATAAATTATATACATTCAACATTTACAATAGGACCTAAAATAATAATAAGATATTTAGATATACAAGGAGAAGGAAACGAATACCAATTACAAGATGGCAAGTTGAGATAATTCAAAGAGTAGGTGATTGTTGGATGGACTAAAGTAATAAAGAACTTGAAGTAAATAATCATTTATAGCCAAGTGTCCAAATACAGTATAGGAAATATTTTATTTAATTATAGACTAATTATTATTTTATTTTAAATTAATGTAAGCAATTTTAAGAATGGAGGAGTGAAAATCTCGTAAATTGATTAAAACCCAGACTCATACCTTCCAAGGGAGAGGTTTTTAGTTCTGTAAAGAATGTAAAAAAAACTGTTATTAAAATTATAAATGATACTGAGGAATGCTTCAATATTGGAACTTTTGAGGATATGAAAAGAAATCTAAAAAATCTTTCCTAATTCTTGTTTGGAGTTTGGCGCATTGAAATGAGACATTCTGTTTTGAAGTACATTGACATTATTTTTACTCCATCAATCCATTAAATCACCAACTCGGTATTTACGCCAAAGAGATTTATGAAAAAATAAATAATGGCTTGTTCATTTATATATTAAAGTCACATTACACTAAAAAACTAAAACCAGTTTTATTTTTATATCACAATAAAGATTTTTTGATAATCTCAATTTATATATTTTCTTTTGTTTGTTCGATAATTACAGTTTTAATATTAATATTTAATAATTTCGAGAAGTGATATTTATTTTTCTCAATATCTTATCATTATGAGTTAGTTTTTATTTTACTTAGAACTTTTACTCTGAATTTTATAAATGAAAAATAATCAAACTTATTAAAATTTAAGTTGTCGTAGTATTTACACAATATAATAAAAGATAAGTTTACATTTAATATAAATATTTTAAGGAAATATATTTTAAAAAAAAAATACATATATAATAGTTTTGTGTAATAGGAAGAATGTTTATATTCTGATTTGAAGGGAATTTTTACTATATTCCAAGAAAAATAATACATTAAAGGTCGCAGACGTTTTCAAAATTTGTTTTTGTAATAATGAATGCATATTTATTGTAATATTTTTATTTGAATAGTTTAAATAAATATTATCTTAAATAAATAAATATTATCACTTCTTACATTTCTACTCAAGCAATTGATTAACTGCCCTGAAACATCGTGTGAACCTCGTTCCGGAAAATAAATTTAAATTAGACTTTTTTTTTCAAATTTTACTTAACCCGTGACTAATATAGTACACGATATAATTTTCAAGAAAAACACATCTTTTTAAAATAAAAATATAATTTATTCACAGCCGTATTAAATATTATAAGTGTAGATATTTTCATTGGTTAAGAGGTTTCGTTTTAGTGACATTTTTTTTAAAATTAAAATTACAGGGATGATTTTTCAAAACTATAAATATTATTAATTGATAAAGCTATTATTAACTAAATGTATAATTATAAATATTTCGATAAATTTAAGATATCAAGAAAATTTAACGAACGGCAGTCTTATATAACTTTTTATCTTGAATTTGATATCTTTTATTTTTTTTCTTCTCTTTTATTATACAGTGTGAGGCAGAAGTCGAACTAAAAAATTAAACTTTGGTTTATTAAAATACTTATTTTTTCTTTCTTCAAATATTTCGATTGCTGTAAACATAACTTTAATCGTATAATAAATATATCTGTAAAAACTCAATTTTGTTTTCTCATTTCTACTTTTTGTTTTATAAATTTATATTCCTTTGGATCCAATCAACTGTCACAAAATAGTATGTGCATGTATGTAAGGATAGGGTGGCTAATTGAAATAATCTGATATGGCTTAAATGCCGAATTTTCAAAATGGCTTCCTTTAAATTACCGTTAATATGCTTTATTTAAAATTTCTCCCATTGTTTATAGAAATAACAAATGTCTAAATATATACTATAAAAGAATTAAAAAATTAATCAATTTTTTTTCTTTATTGAAAACAAATTTTCATCAATAACAGTAATAATATATATGCGTTATATTTTGTTGGAAAGCTTGGGATTTGAGAACAAAAAATATCTAATGTATAATGTCGTAGTATGTACCAAAAGAGAATGACGAAAAATGATTTATACTTTTATATTAATTAACGGAAAATTAATTTTTCTATAAACGGAAGTATTTAAGAAAATTTTCAAGCTTGAAAAGCATAAAATGCATGGCGCACCGAATTGTTTAAAAAATAATTTTATTATACTTTTAGAGAATGAGACTTGAAGAAATGCTTGCTTAAAAAATATTTCAAGGATTTTCAGGGATATAAATAAATAAAATAAATATTTTAAGATTAGAACTTTAATAACTGTAGTGTAAATTAATTTAAACCCAATAATAAATTTAAATATTAACTAGAAGTGTAAGTGAAAATTGTATGAAGGTACCCTAGATTCGTGTATCTACTTTGATTATAATCATTTATAATTTTTTTCAGATTAAATAATTTTTAAACATACAAATTTATAATTAATCATTAATATTTGAATATTCGTCATAGTTAAATCATTAGAATTTGAAATACATGAGCTCTAAATTATCTGTTATATCTTAATATGTTTATATAGTTTTAATCTGGCCCGTTCTAAATGGGTTTTAAAGAAAAGATGGAGCGTGAAATGCGGATATTAGCGGAGGAAGATGACCCTGAAGACAGACAGTAAACCACTAATGAGTAAGAGTTTGGGATAGGTCAGCCCTGAGGCTAGACAAAGGGGTGGGGAGGGGGCAGCGGGATTACCTGATTGGCCGGCACGGGCCAATCAACGCCCTCTCTCCCCTCCCGCCATCCCTTCCTTCCCCCCTCCACCTCTTAACTCCTCTGTACTTGCCCTCCTAACCTGGATTCATTAAACCCATTCCTCAAATGTAAACAGTAACTCCACTCATCATTTAAACTCAGCTTAGCACATCTCTAGAATCATTCTGACAGTGTAATAATATTTTTATCTCTTTTATCAATACTTCAAGTTTTTTTATTTTTATTTGTTCTTTCTTTGTTTTCTATCTGAAGCACAAATCTTTCAGCCATTAAACCATTCTTTCATTGAAAAGGTATGTAATTATATGTAATATTAACCGAAGATTTATTTAATTTCATAACTACATAGTTGCTAATATATTGTATTGTATTTAATATTGCAATATTTTTTTCTTTTATGATAATAAATATAAAAGATTCAATCGATAGAGTGTTAAATTAAAATATGATTTATCTTTTGTAATCCCACAATCACTCGGTGATTTTATGAATGATTGTTTTTGATATATTAAATATAAACTTCATTGTCAATTCATATATTATTTTAATCGATTTTGTATGTCGGTATCAATTATCAAGATTAATAATTATTTGGTTAATTCAAAATCATTGAAATTCAATTGTACCAGGTAAAAAGTTATAATGCAGAAAACAATTTAATGATACGTTGAAGAATAATAGAATAATTGTAAAATATATTAATTTGTTAAAATATTATACAATCAACTTAAAATAACTAAGCATTATTAATAATTGATATAATTAATCAAATATTGGTTAGGTATAATGTGCTAACTTTAAAATGATAGCCTAATTATATATTTCGTAAAAAGAAAAAACAACGTACATTTCTGGAAAATTATAAAATATTTAGTGTTTTTTCAATAATGAATAATTGTGCTGTTGAATCATTATAAGACAAATCTCAATGATATTTAAATTAATTTTAATATAATTCATTAATTGAATTACTGTAATTAATTTAAATTGACCTGAAAGATAATTATATACATCATGCATGGTCATGTTTCTTAGTAGCAGGTGATACTAAAATCATTTATTATAATTATTAATTCAATTTCAATTTTATATAAAACCATATTGAATATGATTTTAATATATTCATTAATTATAACAAAATGACAATTACAAATTTAAAATGTATATATAAATAAAGTATAAAAAATATCAATGTTGTCACATTATTTATTTACATTACTTAAGAACCTCATATTGTCATACAACTTTTATCACACCCCTGAGAGGTATTACATACTTTTAAAAAATTATATGTCGAAAATAAATAGTTATTATAATATTTAAATAAAATATAATTTATATATATATGAACACTTAATTATGATTGTGGTGTTTATTTCATAAATAAGTATAAAGTCAAAATAAAATTTATAACATCACCGTTCATTTAAACATGGCATAAATGTAGGCGTATAAACAAACCAGAATAAAATGTTGAGTTTTAATATATAAATGTATTTTGTTTGAATTTTCAAATTACATCTTACAATTTGAAAATGAACTTATATGTAATTAGTATAAATTTTGAAAAAAAATAAAGAAACCTTACAGTTAGAAACCATGCAGTTATTTTATTATAAATTTATTTCGTTAGTTCATTAATTTTATTCAAATATCGAGCTACACCACTATCATAATAAACGGATCTTATATTACTTTGTAAATATATAAATAAGATAGTTAAGATTTTTATCAGTCAATGAATATAAACTAAACTTTAAGTACTTTATTGAATTAATTTCGTGTCGTTGTTTTTGCAATTCAAACGATTTCTGCCATTGAGGGGTTTTTATTCATGTTTTAGGTTATTTCTAAATTTATCATTTACGTAATTTATTTATTTAAAAAATGGGACATGCTGTAATAGCAAAATCAAATATTCCGGATAACTTCATTCATGTACTTAAAGTTTCGTTCATGTTTACTTCTTGGCATAAATAGAGTCCCCTTACCTGTTCCGATTTCGGTAGTACGCCAGGACATCAGGGGGTTGTGGGAGGGTAAGGGAGGATCTACCGACCGATAGAATAATCCGAGAAAAAAAATTCAGAGAAATAAAAAAGTAAAAAAAAAAAAAAGATGATATATGAGAGAATGGTGGAAGTGGAGAAGTGGTGATGCCAGCACAGAGGGTTGGCCAGGAATGGCCCTGGATGCCGGGGGCGGTCGGAAGGAAGAGAGGTACGCAGACGCGCTACGTCACAGATCGAAGCAGCGTACTCCCCTCCTTTAAATTAAGCTCGTAGTAAGATGATGGGGCTAATATCCCTAACTTAGCCAATTTATACTTAGCCGTTTACTCTTTACACTTCTGACCTACATTTTATTTTGTTTCAGCTCCTTCGCTTTAGGGGGTTGGTGTGTCTACCGCCTCTTCAGCTGGCTCTATATCGACTCATCAAGGATCCGTTATACATCACCTCTTGGTATTATAAATTATAAATATATATATATATATATATATATATATATATATATATATAATATTATAGATAACAATCATGACAATAGCAAATTCTTATAATATGAAAAGTTTGTGGAGGATTGCAGTCAATGAAGTACGCAAAATATTAATTTTCTTTGTGCCGACGTTTCGGCCGAATTTTTACACCTCCATCAGGACTAAAAATACAACGTTATGGTGATTCGGTAGTTATAATGATCATGAGGGCTGAGGCACTAAGAAAATTAATAATTTATTGTGTACTTTAATGACTGAAATTCCCAATCAACTTACTACAAATACATAATAAATTATTAACAGAACATTTTAGTTAGTTACATTTAAAAAAATAAAATTGGACCAACTTGTAATTATATTAATCTTTAAGCTGAATAAAAAATGATAATTTTTAACAGACTTTTAAGTATCAGAAAAATATTTAAAAGTGTGAACTACTTTTATTTACAATAAAACTAATTTATAAAATTAGGAATCGAATTTTTCATATTTCATTCTACATTATTCCATAAATATTTTTATAATCTTCGATAATGAGCCCGGAACGTATACTAAAAAAAAATTATATACTTATAATATTAGCAATCAAAGTTGATAAAAAAATAAAAATGTGCAGTTAAGTTAGTTTATTAGATCAGTCCAATAATTATTATGGATTTGGAATTAACATATAAAATATAATATTAAAGATAATGTAATGTTATTAATAAAATATTTACACACCGAAGTTTGGGAGATATCCTATAAACAAATTATTCATTATCAATAAATAAATTGTCATTCTAAAATCACAATCTATATTCTATTTTATTTTTATAAAAAAAACTTTTAACTATTGCACTAGTAATAGTTAAAATAAAGTAATAGTACTTTTTTTAAATTATCTCAGAACTGAAAAATGTTTAAAAATACTTAGCCATAATTTATAAATAATATACAATAGGCACCTAATGTTGTAGGAGATCTCCAAAACGTCAGTGAGTAAATGTGTTATTAATAAAAAGAAATTATATGAAAATGTTTTTAGCTATATTTATATAAATATCTGAGCATATTAATTTAAAATATATTCTCTCACAATAGAACACCGAATAAGGTTTTCTTTCAGTTGGACTTAAATAATAAAAAATAAAACACAATAAGAAGGTTTTTTTATCATATAATTTAAACATTGTATTTAATGACTTCGTACTACCAATTATTGCCTTAAATTTATACTTATTTTATTTCATTTTTTTTTTTTTTTTTTTAGTGTTACATTACACAGTAATGTAGTAGCTGAAAGTCACTAAATTCAGAAAAACATCCATAGTTGATAATTCATTTGTAAGTCTGCTGATGTTCTTGTTTCGGTTTTTTTTATCTAAGACAGTGAATATATATGAATCCCAAAACTTAGAATTAGTATTCGAAAAAATAAATGAATTAAAAATTATTCGAAAATAGGTTTATAAAACAATCATATGTATATGTGGCTAAAGCGCTCAATCTCCACTGGCTTTAGCACCAGTGATGCGGTTGAGAGAGTAGCGCAGGGATCTCTTAGAGTCCTGCTTTTCCCTCTATAGTTGGAGGGACAAGCCTAGCTTGGGATTCCCTACCTAATTGTATATATTGTATATAGGTATATCTGTATTTTTAATTTACTTATCTTTAAATTATTTTATTTTTTTACTGTATATAATTTATTATTATTATTTAATTGTTATTTTGCTTTTGCTTATTTTATGTTTTCTGTACACATGGCGTGAATGTATTCATATCTCACTATAATTATTGTAAGTGTGACAGATTGTTATATTTCTGAATTAACAAAAAAAATAATAATAATTATATAATTTCATTCATGTATAAAAACTGTAATACATAATCATAATTAATAACAAATGATATATTCAGGCAACACAACATCATAGACAAAAACATACAACGCTAAGAAAAAACAAAATTTGACAGGCGATGTCGTGTACGCCAACTGCGATGCTGCCAAAGCCACCAACCCTTCAAGCCCTGGCGATATAATTATTCTCAACGGGAAGAGAGCCTTTCAATAAAAAATAATAAAAAAAAACCGAGCACATGTCATTTTTTGTTAGGCCTACCTTCGTTATGCATAAGACCCTTACGTAGGGACTACGAAACAAAAAAAAGAACAATCAAAAACAGCTTTGATAAAAAAGCCACCGCCACACCTTTACCTGCATTATAAATTCATTAAGTCTTATCAAATATATTCATTATTTTATTTTATTTTTTTATTACATTGTTATTCCTCCAAATAAACAGAATTTTTTTCCAGGCCATTGTTAGAGATGTGTTGTGACTTACGCGTTTAATATTAATTTTCCTGAATTTGGAAAATATTTAAAATCCGGCGACTGAATATTTGTTCAAATTTTGACATTTATAATATGAATAATAAATCAACAAATTAAAAAAAATACTTTAATATCCGAAATAGTTGCTACAAATCGTACAGTTTTAATAAATAAATATAATTCCAATTCCCTTAGAACCTGAATATTGCCGTTATATTGTAAAATAAATAATAATTCAGAAACAATTTACTTATTTTTAAAATTTCTAATATGGTAGGCAATTGATCGCACAAGATATACTCTCTTTTATTAATCAATGGAAACGGAATAAAAAAAAAAAAAAAAATGAAGTCAAATGGTTCATTTTTAGTATATATCTTACATGAAAAAGTCCCTTGTTATTTGATATCAAATAGATTTACTAAAAGTATCCTTTTATTATATATTCTTTAGGAACTTGAAATAACGTTCTAAATAAATAAAAATATCATTGTATTTTATTTTAGTACTTTATCATTAAAATGTACACAAATATTCAATACTTGGACAATGTTAGGCAGTTAGTAAAACATTTTAAAATTGAACCGAAATCATACACAGTTGTTTAAAAAACTCTATATTTTTAAATGAAAGTATGGAAATATTATTAATAATTTATTTGTTAACCCTCGGACAGAAATATATTATTAGTAAAAGATTTAATCAAACACTTTGGTGTTTCAATCCTATATTTTAATTATGATTATTTTTTGTTGTAGATTTAAATTTTCTAAATATTATTAGAATAAAAATCCTAATTAATATTTATTTAATTTTTTTAAATTTGTTTTTATATATTATATTGATTCATTGATTTATTATAACTGTTAAAATATTAATTTTTTGTTTTTTAACCTACAATCTAAATATTTTATTAGTAATTTCATTTTATTAATCGGACCCGGATGAACTAAATGTTTTAAGCTTGAAACATTCAAACCAAACAACGAACTACAAACAGACTTTATGAGATATATATTGATTAAATTAATGAATGTTATATATATTTATACTATGCATATATATTATGTTACATCGTATTTCAGAATAATATGATTATTTAAGTAAAGTTATTAATTTAATCTCTGATATTGGAATACAGACGCCCGAGAATTGCCATAGAACGCCTGGAACGCGAAGGCCCCCAGACTACACAGCTACCCCGACAGACACCCCAACAAACCCGGACGTGCCAATGATATGCAGATGAGCAGTGATTGTACTAAGTGGTGGTTGACTCCACACCTGGAACCTCTATGCAAATCCTCACCTGGCGCAGTCATATGCAAACTATCTTGGAAGGGTTGCACTGACTCCACCATTCCATCTGTCCTCGGGCTAGTCAACGCCGAGCTCTTGTTAACTTATGTCTCCTCCACACAATGCGCAGTTGTCAGGATTCGATCCGCGAGATAGGATCCACCTTTCCCAACGATGTAAGATAACCACTATATTTTTTCTTTCTAGATTTGCATGGTTTTGTAATGGTTTTAAGTCTATGCTGAGTGCAGTCGTTGCTTGGTTACAATTTATGCTAACGTTTTATTCCGGAACTACAAAATATAGTATTCATTTTCGTTTATCATGAAAATAAATCCCTTATGTATTTACAGTCATCCTAGGTAATGTCGAAGCAGGATTAGCGTCCCGCGTATGTGGGACCTCGGTACCTCGGGGTCACTTACGTTTCAACATTTGGAGAGGATAATAGAGACTGTTGAAGCAAGATTAGGAAAAAACTAAATGTTCAAGATCAATAATACATAAGTTATTCGCAACGATTGAAGCTGTTATGGAACCTATATAAAATAAACAAACAAAATATCTCCTAATTTAATCCCTGCTTGATCAATTTATAGCAGTTACAGCTTAATTATATAGTACGTCACAGCCATTATGATTTGCCACGAATACGAAAATAAAATTTCAAGGTGTTAATGGTCAATCATTTATCCAATACTTGAAAGGAATATTTATAAGTCAAAAATTAAATTTCATTATAAGTCATTAAATTTAACGGACAAGAATAATATCTATTTTAAAAATTATTCATAGAATATGACTTTCTTCGTATAATGTTTATTTTTAAAAAATATATATTCAATTCTGAATTCTGGATTGAAAATTATTATTAAATATTCCAGGCGTTATTATTAAAAGGTGCAGCCGGGAAAATGCCTATTAAAAATAATCAGCATAAAAAAAGATTGTTTTGACAGTTTTAGTGAAACCTCGACTTTTTTTTAGGAAAAAAATATTTTTAAAATAAAAGGCTTTTTTTAGATAGATCTGTATATGGTAAAAGTTTAACTTCTATTCATTCAAAATTAAAAAAAAAATAGTTACGTTAAATGAGAAATAAACACTACATAGGTCTTAAAATACATTACGTAATTATTTATTTTTTTAAATTCATTTATTGAATAATAATACAATCAACCACTGCTGGAGGGCTATAAGTATTAGGGCTAAGAGTTCTAATAATAGAGAAATAAATATAAATATAAAAAGTAAATAAATAATACTGATAAAGAACGTAAATAAAAGAAAAAAAAGTAAACAATAACATAAAATAGAAACTTATAAACACAATCATACCTATATACAATATATACATTCGCCCAGGAATCTCCGAGCCAGGCTTTTTCCCCCACATGTGGAAGGCAAAGCAAGACTCCAGGAGATCCCAGTGTCACTTTTCCAGCCGCATCACTAGTATTAGAAGCCAGTGGAGACTGAAAGAGGGCACTAGAGCCACGTAATTATTAAATATCCTTTCTTTGAATAGCTAACAATATACTGCTCAATTACTATGTTTTAGATTGAATTTGTGGTCAAACGAATCGCTTTAATAGAACTTTTAAATACAATAATTGTACTAATAAAAGTTCTGTATAACCTCGACTTGAAAATAAATAAATAAAGATTCCAGTCATATTTACTAACACCCATATGACCAATGATTTATAATTGTAAAAAATAAGTTTGCAACTTAGGAAATATTAAATAAATATAACTGTTATTTAAAACCATCAGTAGCAGTTATGACTACAAAATGAAATTAAAGTTTTTTTTTTTACTTATTTGATAGTAAACTGTAGAAGTATTATTTTTGATAAAGTTCCAGGTTACTGATACCGCGAGGATAGTATTTCTTCCCCGTACCCCATTCGCATTATTGCGGATTCCGGCCATGTATCTCTTTACTTCCTTCTGTGTTCCAGGAATTCAGACGATCTTTTTGGCATCTGTTTTTTTCTTCTTTTAAATTAGGTATAGTAATATGTTTGAATTTAAAGCTATAGGGAGCCATTGATCGAACTGCTCTACCACAGATATATAAATAATATATATATATATATATATATATATATATATATACACATATATATACATACACGGGTGGATCAAGGGGGGGGCCTTTCGGGCTGAGGCTCCCCCCAAAATGGTAAAGTATAACCATGTTTTATCGAAAAACATATTAAAAAAGTACCTCTTAAAGTATTATTGTTCGTGTAATTACATTTAAAAGGGCTTTAGGAATGACTTAAACACTATTTCATACAGGTAGTTAGTTTCTTTCTTTTTTTCGTAATTATCGTTGTTTTTATGAAAAAAAAACTTTCGGGCTGAAGACCCCCTCAAAAATAAATTCTGGATCCGCTTATATATATATATATATATATATATATATATATATATATAATTTTTTTACTGTTGCCTTATATATTTTTTTTTCTTTTCACTTTTTTATAGAACTTAAAAGATCTTAGACCGCCTGAACCAACCTGTTCCACCTCTTCCAGGTTATTCTATTCTTGTTTTCTGATTGCTGCCTTACAGTATCTTTGTTGGTTCAATCTATCCATCTGGTTTTTAGCCTTCCATATACTTTCTTGCCAACTATTCACCTTCTGACTGATTGTTCCGACCTATATATTCCGCCCATCTTTACCTCATTGTCTTCTTATCGTTAGATATTGATAAACCAGTTTCTGTAGTCTGTTCTTTATTGACCCTTCTCCAAGCCTTTCTATTATGATTCCAATTATCATGTGGTGGTTTTTCTTTTCAATAATTCTTCCTTATTTTGTTGAGGATGCCAGTTACTGTAAAATTCTCGCAGCCTCATATCAGAAATATATTAATACATATAAAATAATAATATAATTAATGGAAACTATTTCCTGTATATTGTTAACTGAGATCCGATCTGTTTTTCTTATTGGCTTTTCCGGAGGAGATATAGGAGGGGTTACTGAATTTAATATACCATTAAGAAGGAGGAAGTAAACTTATAACTTAGCTCTATTTATTTTTTACAAATTGATTCGTTTTCGTCAGTTAGTTATCAGTCTGAAATCAGCCATCAAACAGCAATTACTATCAGTTTATGGAGTACTAAACGTGCCGTGCGGTCTTCATACTTCCCTTTATCGATCCTTCACTGACTAAACTCCTAGTACCTCCGCCATAGATGTCAGATAGTTTCCAGTAGAAGCGTCCATATTTTGACACTTAAATAATAACGTAGCATAAACATGTTTCTCATTATTATATTTTAAATATTTTATTGTAATAATTATGTTAAAAAATGAAATGTTATTTGCACTGCCTAAACAGAGGCATATTTTTAAAATTAGTTGTTCTTTGAAGGTTAAGCAAAAACGCGATTTTCAAATATACCCATATATTGTCTTATTAAAATTTCTGGCTACATCTTCATTATCTAAATTTATTGAATATCAAATCACAATAATATATGATACTGGACGTCTTTCGCTATAAATATTATTAATTACTAATTTCAAATATTACTAAAATTAATAAGAACAACCTCTGTTGGAATTTTTTTTTTTTTTGTTCTCAATCAAAACTTGTCTCGTTTCCATTGAACATTGTTATCTATCTGGATGGATCACAAGTTCGTTATTGTTTGAACTAATGTCGAATAGATATCTAAAGAGGTTACTTTTATTCATTTTAGTTATTGTTGACAGTTGAATAATGGAAACAAAAACGCATTAATATATTATTCCGATATAGTTGATTATGATTTTCAGAGGGTTTTAAGAATGTGGATTCAGCCACAAAAGTATATAGCAAATATTTTTTTTTGTAAGCCGTCAAAATATATTTAAATATATATTTTAAATTTGATATGAACTTATAAATTAATATAATAAAATGAATATAACAAAATAAATGTCTTATAAAAGTGCAGGTATGAGAAATATTTTACAATACTGATTCAAAGTATTAAGAAAAAATTATCTTGACTTAATTTCAACGAAAAATAAACAACTACAATTAATTAAATAATAAATAGATACAAAACAATCAATTAAATAATTTAAATTAAATAATTAAGGAAGATTTACTTTATTTCACTTTTCCTTAATTAGAAGAAAACCAATCCATGAATATATAGGAAATAAGAAGCTCATCATACAACATCAAATATTTACATACAGTTATATTTTTAAAAATTACAGATAGAGCATTATAAATAACACAATATTTTGTGAAAAATGTGTGTTAAAAAATTATGTAATCATTTTTTAATCCCTGAAGTTTTCGATTCCTAACTAAACATCCCTTTTTGAATAGGAAGCAATTTTTTAATATTATTTCCGTCGTTGAGAACTTGAATTATCATGAATACAATTTTTTTATCTTAAAATGTAATCAGCATTGTCTCAGGAAATATTGCACCTAAAAGTTTCATATTTGTCTAGAAAATTTAGTAATTTAAACAATGTTCTCGTGAGACCCAACTATGATAGTTAGGAACCAAATGAGAAAATAAAACATGACCCTCCTTTCGTTTTTATAAAAAAATATCACAATCATGCATTTTTAATTAGACATTATTAATGATGTATTTATAATTTTTTTCATAGATTTCAATAAACTGAGAGAAGTATTAAAAAAATGTATCATGAGAGATATTAAGTGTATTGGTACTGTGTGGTTTCTTTTATTTATAAAAATATGAACTCAGTGTCTATATAACGTGCCAGAATCAGTTTCTGGTATTGGAAACTTCAAACTTCAGATATTTATTTCTGTTACAAAAATTATTGTATCAAACTTTGTCTTAGAGTTCATTATTTAGTTGCTACAGATGACTAAGCTTGTTTTGAAATTTTCATATCTTTTGGTAAAAATATTAAAATTTAAACAGCTCCGTCTCGTATTTATTAAATTAAATATTTTAAAGTAAATACGTTTTAAGATGACTTTTTCTTTTTTAATTCGTTATAAACTGTTTGGGGGTTGGAAAAAAAAAACTTTTTTTAATTTGATATATTTTGATGTGATATGAAATATTAATTTATTCAGTAGTGATCTTTTGTCAAAAATTGCTAATATCTGTCCCAATCTTTAATTTATTTTTTTTTATTTCATACTGT